ATTCCGGATGTCCTTCTGGACGAAGCTGCCGGGGCCGGGGCCAAGGCAGAGGCGGTTAGGGGTGATCAGGCAGGCAAGCAGTTAGGCGCATCAGGCAGGCAGGCAAGTGATTAGGGGTGATCATGCAGGCAGGCAAGTGGTTAGGGGCAATGGGGCAGGCAGGTGAGCAGTTAGGGGTGATCAGGCAGGCAGGTAGGGTGGTTAGGGGCGATCAGGCAGGCAGGCGAGAATTTAGGGGCATCAGGCAGGCAGGCAGAGTGGTTAGGGGTGATCAGGCAGGCAAGCAGAGTGGTTAGGGATCCAGCCCAGTTCTTTCATAGGCCAGGAAGCAATATAAGTTATAATATTTCAGAATTGTGCCATGTAGCTTATAGATCTCATATAATTCATTCCTCATGATAAACTGGAGAGTCGTTTATATTATCCTCACTTCACAACTAAGGAAATAGTTTTAAGAGGTTACATGACATTCCCGAGGTCTCAGAAACTCAGATGTGTCTTATTTCAGACCTACAGACTTTCCTGGCCACTCCACTCTTATCCCACGTACTAAACACTTCCTATGCTCAGGGAGTACCCAATGCCCATTCACCAGGACACCAATTCAGGGTTGGGAGTGGAGAAGGGTGTAGATTTTCCCTGTGGAGCTCCAGGATTCCTCTTAAGCGGGGAGATTCTCCCCATACCTGTACTGATGTGGCAAGAGTGGAAGGCCTCTCTGACTATTTTTCTTTTGAACTTTTGGAGAAGACATTACCTATCTCAGCTGTTGGGACATCTACTTCATAATCAATTTTCTCAGCTTGTCAGAAACAAGAACCCTTGGAGGTATCTCTTGCTCTGAGCAGACCTTAGACTAATCCGTTGTCTGGAAAGGGAAACGTGGGAATGAATGATTGTGGACCATGCCTGGGGGCATAATGACGACGAGTGAGACTTTCATTAAGAGACTGCCTACTAGAAGGAGAGGGGAAAGGAGTATCCACTCCAACAATTGCCCTGGTTTTCCCTCTTCTGTTATGTTATTTTGCTCATACAGTCATTCACTGAATATTTATTTACGGAGTATATAACATATGCTGGGAACGAGGCTGGACATGGCCTATGCAACAATAAAGCAGAAGTCAGATCTGGCCTTCTTTACCTTCTTGGAACTCTAGTGGGAAATGCCTGTGGTATATCGTTAAAGGGAAAAGCAAGTTGAAGGGATTTGGAAAATCCAGCCCCATTTTTGTTCATTTAGAAAGTGTTTGCATTGAAAATTGACAGCCCTGTAAAATGAACTGCATAAAGAAGTGTGAAGTGGCTGGCATGATCCGTGCCATGGACCAGAGCCTCCAAAGGTGGGATCTGACCTGGTCAGACTTCCTAGAAAGGAGGGGTACCTGACATGAGAGGCGGTTGGGGGATAACAGGAGGGAGATGGGAGGTCACTGACTTCTAGTTTTTTATAAAAATCTATGCGCCGGCACTATGCTAGATGCCGGGACTCAGCCTGAGATTCTCAACTCTGCCTGCACAATAGAATCACCCGGGGGTGGGACTTAAAAAAATCTATGTCTGAGCCAGATCTTCAGAGATTCTGATTAAATTGTTTGGGGGATGGGCCCAGGAATCTGAAATCTTTAAAAGCTCCCTCATGGGATTCCCATGGACTGCCAAGGGTGAGAGCAACTGACTTGTACAGCTGGAAAGATAGGGTCCCTGCTATCGCAGCACTCATGGCCTAATGGGAGGACACTGATGTGAAAATGGAAACCTACAAAGCAGCATGGACAGTGCTATGATAGAGCTGCGGTGCCTTAGGGAGCCTCAGGGAATCAGGAGGCAACACCTTGGCTATGTCTTGAAGACAAATAACAGAGTCTTACATAAATGAAGGGGTGGGACAGCTAAGCTCCAACATCTGGTTCTCAGATCAACTCAAAGACTTCATCGTACTCCTAAGACCAGATATTCTTCATAGCACTTATCATAAAACCATATTTAACTTTTATGCAATTTGTGGGACTATTTGGTCATTGTCTATCCTTTCCTAGGAGGGCAGGGATCACGTCTGTTTCTGAGTCTGCCTTATATTTCCCGTATCCAGTGCATGCCCCATGCCTACTTGATGCATGACTAAATGACTGAGAAAATTGCTTGAAAAGGTTTCGGTAATGAGCTACACAGTTGGTTTTGCATTTTAGAAATATGCCTTTTATTGCAGTGTGGAGAACGCACCCGGGGAGGTGAAACTCGAGGCAAGGAGTGGAGCAATATTCAAAGTGAGGGAAATGGGATAGGCTAGAGAAGTATTTGTTAGGCAAGGCTAGAAGGACTTGGTGGTTCAGCAGTTGTGCTGGGGGAGAAGAGGAGGGTTGAGTCAGCAACAGCGCCGTGTTTGTGGCTTTAGTTGGTGTTTCTATGCCACAGAGAAGGAAGAGCCTGAAGAACAGATCCAGGTAATGTTGGTAGGTTCAGGCTGGGCCACCGGGACTGGGAGATGCCAGTGACTGTGTCCTGGATGTCACTGGATACGTGAACTTTGAAGTTCAGGGTGGATATCAGAGCATCCTTCAATGGGAAATTCATGGCCTTGGAAATCTAAACTTTCCCCTGGAAGGCAGAAAGATGGAGATCTGACCTCACTCCTGCCGCTCTGAGCAATTTGTGGCATTTCATGAATGTGTGTGTGCTTGTAGCATCTTCAGTAGCAGACTCGCAGGTTCCTTTTGGCTCTGACATGCTGTATCTTCTGACGGCTCTTGGATTTGTGGAAAGGAGGACTTTCTCTTGAAAGATTGTGTCTGTCAGGGTTGTTTACATAGACAGGAATAGAAACCCAAAAACTGTAGTGAGCCTGGAAAGTCAACACGTGCCTTCCTGGGGCGTCGTGTTGAGAAGGAGTCTGAGTGGAGGCCACACTTGCCAGGAAAGAGCCCTGTGATGAAAGAGTGATGTCTACCATGGATGCAGAGGGCCAAGTGGAATGCATTTTTGCCCACTCAGCTCTGAAACCAAAGCTTTTCCTTTCAGAAGCATCAAATGATGTCTACTGGACTTAGGTTCTACCCTGGCTCAGCCACTAGCTATGGGTAACCTTCATTAAATCATTTCACATGCCTGAGATCGACAGTTTCATAATCCATCAAGCAGGGATTAAAATCGGGGTTGTTGAAAGGATCAAAGGAGATAAGAAACATGGAACTGGGGTGGGCCCCATGAATTTAAATAAATTCACATGTGTAATAGAATGGGATGTTGTGAGTGTGGAAGAAAGAACAACAAATATTTCTAGTCTCTCAAGAGATGTACATTTAAAGGTGTATTGATAGACATTAATTGAAGAAGTGTAGAGGATCTTATCTATAATAATAAAAGCATAATATGCTAATTAGACCAGACAGCCGGACGACCTTCCGGATGAAGCCTCAGCTGCCAGGGCCAAACCCCTTGCATGAATTTTGTGTATTGGGCCTCTAGTAAGGAAATAATTGTAAGAGAAAATAAAAAAAAGGTATCACAAAGTTATCAAATACATAAATAAGGAAAGGAAGACAGAGAGAGAAAGAAAGAGAGAGAGAGAGAAAGAGGAAAGGAGGAAGGAGAGAAGAAAGGAAGGAATAAAGAAAGTAAGAGAAAGGAAGAAAAAAGGAGAAAGGACGGAAGAGAAGGAAGAAAGAAAGAGAAAGAAACAAAGAAGAAAGGAACAGTAAAAAAATAAGAGAGAGAAAAGGGAAAGAAACCAATGCTGGAGAGTGTGGTGAAATGGAGTGGAAATTGATGTAACTCTTTTGTAGCACAGTGGGCAATATATATCAAGGGCCTTAATAATGTTCACACCCTTTAAAAGTAATTTCACTTGAGGTAATTCATTTCAAGGCTGGATAGTAAATATTCCAGGCTGTGTGCCAGGCAGTCTGGGTCACATGGACTCGAATCTACCACTGCAGAGCAAACTCCACCACAGGCACGGGAAAATGAAGAGGTGTGGCTGTGTTCCAGGAAAACTTTATTTTCAAAAATAGGCGGCGGCTGGATTTGGTCCACGGGCTGCAGTTTGCCATCTTCTGATGTAGATTAAGAAAATATTTTTAACATCATGCTAAATTCAAAATTCTAAGCACAAAGGGAGCTTTAATCCAGAAGATTCTCATCTCAGCTTTATCTTGAATGTTCATCAACAGGGGCATTGATTAATTTTTAATAGTTCCATTCAATAAAATATTCTTTGGGCATTAAAATCTGTTTATTACTAGTTTATAACAATGGGGGGGATGAGGCTTGATAGAATATTGCATGAGAAATCAGCTATTTATAATGATAATGATGATAATAGTGGTGGCTAATATCTAAGCATTTTATACACATCATATCATTTAACCCTCCAAACAATCCTATTGAATATACTTTTTAATGTGGATATGTGCCTTATGCAGAAACCGATGATAATAAAAGTTAAGTCATTTAGCCATAGTTACGCTGCTAGTAGCAGACAGAGTTGGGATTTGAACACAGGTCTGCTTGACTGCCACAAGCAAACACACCAATAAAAATCCCCAATTAATTCTGTTTATTGAGAAGACCAGGAAAAAATACACTCAGGTGTTGATATGGGCTCTCGTTAGTGTGGGGATAAACACGAATATTACTCCACATGTTCAATATTTTCTCTATGGAGAAGGCATGATTTTAATTATGAAGAAACAACTCTTGCATTTTATAAGAAAACCAAGGATAACAGAGTGTTAGGGTTAAGTGTGGTGGGAATTGCTTATTTGAGGGGTGCTGTCAGGGTGCCCTGCCCCCTTGGTCCTGCTCTTGTCTGTGAGGACACAGTCCTGTCCTTCCTTCTGTCTGTTCCAGGTGGAGTTTCTAGTGTGTGTGTCGTTTGGACTGTAGCCTGCTTTGATGCCGTTTCTCGGATTGACTTGCCTGTCCCTAACTGTCTCTCTCTCTCCTCTCTCCCTCTCTCTACTCTCTCCTGCCCTTCTCCGTCCACCTGCCCCACACTCCAGCCGACAAGGCCAATGACGACTTCTACTCCAAGCGCCGGCACCTGGCCGAGCTGGCGGCCAAGGGGAACCTCCCTCTGCACCCCGTGAGAGTGGAGGACGAGCCGCGGTCCTTCAGTCCCGAGCACGGCCCCGCCAAGCAGAACGGACAAAAGTCTCGCACCAACAAGACATCCTCACACCCCCTGGCCTACAACTCCAACACCAACTTCAAGGGCTGGGACCCCAGCGAGCATTCTCTCCGGCGGCAGGCTTACGGCAGCAAGGGCAAGCTGGGCACTGCCGAGTCGGGCTCCAGCGACCCCCTGGGAACTCGCCCCCAGCACTACCCACCCCCACAGCCCTACTTCATCACCAACAGCAAAACAGAAGTGACTGTCTGAGCTGGCGCCACACGGAGCGTCCTGGAGACCACACTCAACTGAGAGGCAAAAAAAAATCTTCCGGCCCACACTCTCCCTGGCCTCGCCCCACACAGCCACCCACCACTCACTCTCCACACCCACCGACCAGAAACCCACTGGTGACACGGAATCACGCTTATCCTGGGTCATGCCTAACACGTGTTGGCGGGCAGCTGAGCAGAAATGAAGCATGGATGCCCAGCAGTACCGCAAATGGGGAAACTGAGGCACACTCTTTCGGCCTCAGGCCCAAGGTTGCCGACTCACATGCCCAAACCGTGGGGCTGATTGTTCTTTTCCTCCTAACTTGAAACTAAAATCCATGATGAGAAATAACAGTAGCACAATATAGAGAAATTGTCCATTTGAGCACATACACTATTTGCCACGAGCTGTCCATTTCTGGGTGAATGAGCCAGGGCGGAGGGCGGGTAGAAAATGCGGGGACACCAGAGGTGAGTGTACTTGAAAAGAGGAGTCGTTTGGGAGGAATCTGCACATTTGAAGTGTTTTCTAATCCTAAGACGTGGTGGTGTGGACACACTATTTTGGTGAACGTGAGACAGTAGCTGGACCCGAACCATTCTATTTCTAGTCCTTTTCATATCATCCACGTCCGATGCAAAAAAAACAAACAACCTTCAAACTCACAAAATGTAAACGATCCTGAACCCACTAACAGTGATGGGGAAGAGAGAGCGTTTTAGGACTCCCATTAAGACCATGACTATGGACATGGGAGGGATGGGCTTTGCTGGCAGGGAGCGGGTCCAGAGGATATTAAATAACTTTTCTTTATAAAAAGAAAAATGAAATATGAGTCCACTACAAAACAGACAAGAACAGCAAACTCATTTTCATCCCAAATCTTCAAGACTTAGCAAATCAACGGCGACATCAAGAACAATTAAAAGAAAAATCACAGCTGAACGGTCAACGAGAGGTGAGAAGGGGACCCAGGGGTCCGGTTTCTGGCATGTCCCCCTGGCCTCTGAGACCAGACAGACACACTAACCAGTCCTCCACTCACCGCCAGTCCGCGGCTCCCTTCCCTTCAGCCCATTGCTGCCGCCGCCACCACCAAATTCCAACTGCTTTGGACTGAAAATGTCATACGTGTGGGTGGTGCCTTCAGTGTGTTACTGTTTAGTGACCGTCTCATCTCCCAAGTGCAACCTGTGTTCTTTTAGCCTCCCTCCCTCCTGTGTTTCTGCAGTGATAGAAGATGTTTCCATCCTCCCTTTGTTGGCGAGCCCACCCCATCACCCCCTCTGGGGACGCTGAGCAGTGTCAGGGGGACCTACAGACCAACACCTCCCTATCTCCCACACTGTCCAAAATCAATGCCCTACCACTTTCTAGCTCCCCAAACCTAGCAAGCATTTCCAGTCCCATAATTCCCAGGGACCCCCACACCGCCTCTCTAGACACTTAAGTGCATTCATCTCCCATCCAGAATTCCCTGAGGTGGTTTTCAGGTTGGTTCTCACAGCCAATGTCCCAACAGAGACAGTTTTCGTGCGAGTTCTATTTGTTTTATGGAAGCCCAAAGAGGGTTGTTGAGAGAGAAGAGATAAGTATTTAAGGTGAGACGTTCTCAACCAGTCCCTAAAGGTCTAGGTCTTAGCTAATTGACAGGGATCTTTGAGAGCCCCCAGCTGTTCCTGTGTCAGAAGCTGTACATGGTCCCAACAGGTCTCAGAGCACTTCCTGGGATGCTGAACTCTAGCGCTCTGCCTCACCCATCTCTTCCTCTGATGCCGCGGGATCAGGCAGACCAGGTGGTCCTTCTCCTGTTCACTCCCAGCTGACCTGCGGACATTGACAATTCATTTTATCTATCTGGGTTTTAGTCTCTGGCCTGAAACATGAGGAACTGAGGCCTGACCAAGCTTTTTCAAATAGCAAAACCTCTGCCATTTTTTAAAAAAAGGGAACTGTGCACAGAAGCCACAGTATAAGATTCCCCTCTCATAGCGAGACTCTGTGCTGGACGAAGCAGGCATGAGAGAGTCAGTGCCCACTTTCTCAGCCTTTTTGCTGGGACCCCAGTGCTCCCCATAGTGGAGGAAACACCACTGAGCTTGGTTTCCTTGACTTAGTTACCTGTAGACCTGCAACACACTTTTGGTATCTGTCTCACCTTCACAGTATTTGTATCTAAATTGATTCACTTTTAATATAGTTAACTTTTAAAAGAAAAACTTCCTGCCATCATCACAAATAGAAAACCAGAATCAGTCACCCTAAATAGAAAGTAAGTATAAAAATCAGTACAAAGGCAACAAAACAGCAATTGTCAAGTTCTAGCTAGATACTATTGCTGTGGAAGTGTCTGGACCTATAGACTGGCACTTGCGTCTCTCTCTCTCTCTCTCTCTCTCTCTCTCTCTCTCTCTCTCTCTCTCCTCTCTCTCCCCCCCTCCTTTTTTTTTAATTAAAACAAGATTAGCACATGTTAAAGAGTTGTCAAAGATATACCAGCCTCTAATGAAGACTTTCTTTTTGAAGTAACTAGATGGACTGAGAAAAATGCAAAGGGAATCATTTCCTATGTGACTCAATGCTAATTAGTGCCATGCCCATGTACTACTTAAAATCATTTTGCGTACGCTAGTGGTACACAGCCCATGCTTCAGGAAGCACTGGGCCGGCTTCTCTGGGAGGTTCCCTCCAGCTCAAAAGTTCTGCAATTCTAGTCTCCCTCTTAGCTCAATTTGGCTCTCTGCCCTCGACTCACTTCATCTCACCTTTACCACAACCCTGGTTAAGGACTTTTTTTGGTCTCTGAATCTACAGGATTTTATTTATTGTCCATGTTCCTTCTCTTCTGAGTCAACATCATCCAGTGACTTCTGTTAGTTGGGGGTTTGCAGCTACAATTTGGGTGGCAGGGTTGTGACATGGTCAAAAGGATGTGGCTGTGATGGCGACCCAAGAAGAACCATGATTCACAGTCTCGTCACCTTCCAATTGGTTTCCGGAACCAAACCGAGGGTGGGGAGTGTGGCTAGGGAAGTGTATTCTTTGGTCTCCTCTGGAGAGGGTGGACAGACCTCATGATGCTGAGAGTGTCCCGAGGGATGACCTAGGGAATTGTGACTGCCCTGGATCAACAAGGACCCAGTAGCTAGAGGAGGGAGACACAGAAGAGAACCCAGAAGAAAGCAGAGAGACTATTCCTTCCCCATCCCATGCCCCGGCACTAGCCTCCCCTTGCCTTTAGCCATTCCGACTTCCAACCCCATGGGAGCAGAGTCTTACGTCCCTTGGCCTTCCCAGAGCATCTCAGCCTCCATCCGCCTTGGGCTCCACCTGGCCTCCCCATCTAACCCCCCAGGTTTTTGTGCAAATGGAGCATATTTTATGTGCGAATATTTTAGTAACCGTATGTTCTGCAAGTAAACCTGTGTTAATACTCGTCAACAACTGCAGAGTTTATGATACCAATAACACTTCCTACAATGAAGACAAAAAAAACATTTGTTTGTTTTCTAAGAATGTTTATTTGTAAACATATGTATTCACTATATTAATATGAATTTCTTACCTGGCAATAAAACTGATTATATGTGATGCTGTTGGGCTTGCCATGTATCTTTCTAGGGTCCAATATCCTTACCTGAATTTTCATCAGGGAGCACCACTATTAGCATAGAGAACTAAATTTTGAATATTTGGAGTGTATGGGAAACCTTTACAGGGAAGGCAACATTTTAGTTAAGAGCAATTCGGACACATTTTCCAGCAGGCTATTTTGTCTGAAGCCTTTCTAATGAGCCTGTGTCGTGTCTCTTAATTCACTTCCTGACTTGAAAAATGTCCCATTGCTACGTCTCCTGTTTATAACTAAATGTATCCTTAACGGTCAAGAATCTTGCTAAGATTTGCACTTCTGTTTGTACCAGCGACCGGGGTTGTGAAACACACAAATATTGAAAGGATGGGAATCTTTCCCTATTTATTAAATTTGATTTCTTGCCTGGCTTCTGTTAGCACTAAGTTTGAAATTTTCAGAAATATGCCTTGTTATGGTTCCCTGGAAAGGAATTCTGAGACACAGATTTGAGGGCAATTAGTTTATTTGAGAAGCAGAAGGGGATGCTGGTAGGGGGTGGGGAAGTGAGACAAAGAAAGGAAAGCAGTCAAAAATGGTTACTTTATCGTGCCAGCTACCACAGTGACTGACTGGAGTTTAAGGCAATAGGGGAACTTTGGGAAAAGGTATAGAATTAGCACACACTCAAAGTCATTGCACCCTAATGGGTGTCAACACGCTGACTCCCATCGGACATCATTTGAGCATTGCTTTCAGGGAGTGTTGATATTCAGCCACTTCCAAGTCAGAGGCATTTCCATTGGAGAAAGCCCTAGGCACAGACATGCATCTACTAGTAAGTGGACATGAGACATTGTGTACTGAAGTCCTAAAGACCCAACGGATGGAGCCAGGAGCTCACAGGGGCTACTCAAAGCCAGAGTTCTGAGGTCTCTGGAAATGGAGCTTCCACTCACCGGATACTTAGGGAAGCTGTCAATGTCAAGCAAAGGGGATAGTGGACCAGTCTGTAGTCAGAGGGAGTGTTCTTTCACTGGGATTTGGAGACCCTTCATGGACCAGATGGTCACTTGGTGTCTCCCAGAGGAGATCCCATGGGCTGTCTCTCTCTCTGGGGCAAAATTCTAGTTATCGGAGAAGCACAGATGACAGGGGATGCTCCTCCGGGACTTGGAAACTGTCCAGGGGTGGAGTCATTCACTGATCAGCACACAGCACAGCCCTCTGGATGCAGTAGAATCTTGCCTTGGGGTTGGGTTTGGGTTTAAACACTAAAAATCCAATAGTTCAGCCACTGCATGGCGACAACTCATACACAACAATCATATCAGGTCTACTTATAGAGCTCCCACTATGTGCCAAACACTGTTGAAGATTTTACATGCATTGTCACATTTGACCCTCACCGATGTATAAAGGTCTACTTATAGACCTTTATATCAGGTATATAAGTAGCTTTATCACATTGTCTGGGAGCTATTTGGGGAGCTTCATGTAGATTGCTTTATATCATTCTCATAACAACCCTTTGATAGGTGCTACTATGGTGCCCACTTAAATTCACCGATGTATAAAGTAGCACTATTAGCTTTGGAGCTGGGAAACCTATCTACAACTTGAGCAATTGTGATTTAACGAGGAAGTGGTGGAACTGGGATTTGAACTCTAGAGCTCATATTAACTACTATACCAGTAGTTCTCACTTGGATGAGCATGTGAGTTAGTGGGGAAACTTGATAAAAATGCTGATTTTCAAGCTTCTCCCACAGAGATTCAGGTGAGGTAGGTCTGAATGGGGGCCCAGGATTCAGTGTTTGTAACAGACACCCTATCAACACAAAGCAGTGGCTCCTGGGCCACACCTGAACGTTGCATGAAGCCACGTGCCCTGATCCAACATCTACTGGCTGTCCACTGACTTGGAGGCATTGAACAGGCCGGATGCTGCCTCACTTGATGTTTCTGTCTTTCAAGTCTGTTCTCCAACAAAGCAGACTTTATTTCAGAATGCTTGAGTGTTTGTGATATAGACAGGAAACAATGACCAGCAGTGACCTCTGGGGCAAGCAGACAGTGTGTCTTAATTTTGTATGACCTTGGGAGAGTCACTTCCGCCCCAGAGGAGGCGGTGTGATCTTTTGGGTAAGAGCAAGAACTTTGCAGTCAGGGGATCCATGTCTGAATTTAAGTGGGCACCATAGTAGCACCTATCAAAGGGTTGTTATGAGAATGATATAAAGCAATCTACATGAAGCTCCCCAAATAGCTCCCCGACAATATTATTTTCAAGATTTCCGAACCTCATTTGGAAATCATCATCTACCCCAGGCTCTGCACAAGGGATTAGAAGCAGCACCAAGTTTCTTTGCTTTGGGTAAGATGTATCTGAACTTGGTGTGATGCCATTTCTTCCAATGCTTTGGCTGTTGGTGATGTTACAAGCATATTAGAGCTCTGATTTTACTGCAGATCCCTTTGGATATAGCTTCAGTGAATGTTAAAAATGGGAAAGAAAATAAATTCTTGCTCAGTGTGTTTTGCTTGAGGAAGGGAATTTTTCAGATCTAGAGGTCTATAGGGCATACAATCATAACGAATAAGATCCATGGTAATAAAATACCTGTAAGTTGTGAATTCCTGGCTTCAGATGGTTTATCAGTTACCTATTGCTGCTTAACTATGCGGGCACTCCAAATCCTTGCAGCTTACAACACACATTTATAGTGGGGGGTCAGGAATCTGAGCATGGCTTAGCTAGGTCCTATGCTCCCGGGGTCTCTCAGGAACCTGCAATCAAGGTGTCAGGCAGGGTTGGAGTCTCCCCTGAAGCCTCAAGCCAGGAGAGATCTGCTTGCGAGCTCACCCGTGTAGCTGTTGGCAGGATTCCCTTCCTCAGGGACTGTTGGCCAGAGGCCATCCTGTTTCTGCAATATGGCAGCTTGCTTCATTTAAGACAGCCAGAGAGTGTCTGCTGGCAAGAAGGAAGTCACAGTCTCTTCTCGTCTAATGACAGTAGTGACAATCTCTCAATGTGGCCGTATTCTATTGGTTAGAAGCAAGATGCTCAAGGGGAAAGGATTACTTATGGCTGTGAAGACCAGAAGATGGGGGTCATGTGGGGTCACGTTAGAGGCTGCTGCCACAGATGGTAGCTAAGGCCCTTGCAGTACAGACGTCGGAGCTGTTATGTGTTTTGTGGATGGTGAGTCTAAGCACAACTCTGACATGGCTATCACTTTCAGACAGATAGCTAACTTACTGGGATCAAATCTTAGCCCCACCATGTCCGTGCCTTGGTTTCTCCATCTTCAACAACAGAGATAATAATAGCACCCAGCCCTCCGTTTTATTGTGTGAGGCATGTATGATGAAATGGATGAGCAGCACAAGCGATTGCCCAACCAAGATGAAATGTGAGCTCTGCCTTGCTTGCCAGCCCCTTCCTCTTGCATCTGGATGGGAGGCATGTGCTGGGTTTTGGACAATATGAGAGGAAACTTATGTAGGCCACTTTCAGACCTGGTTCATGAAAACCTCCAGCATAACCCTCCCAAGCCTCTCCCCCACCTGCTGGAGAGATGCCAATGCCCAGGGCAACCTTGGAAACCACGCATTGAAGCTGGCAGAGCCTTGGTCGGCTCAGCCTTTGAGTGATTTTGTGGAACAATGACTTTCCTCGCTACCACTCCAACACTAACTGGACTTATTGTGCCTGAGAAATGATGTTATGTTGTATTAATCCCTGAGATTTTTAGGGTTTATCTGTTAGAGTAGTTAAAATGTCCTTAACAAATACAACAGATGACACATTTTGAACAGTGTCTGGCACATAAAAAACAATAAATGTCAGGTCTTCTGTTGCCATCATCATCATCATTAACTAATCTTTAAACTTCTCCTTTGTGAAAAAAAATTTCATACCTGGTCTTTAATCCTCCCAACAACTCTGAAAGGGTTAGAAACCCCATTTACTCGATAAGAAAACTAAGAACCAAGTGACTTACTTAAGATCACAGAGCAAGTGCTGCAGTGGGAAGGCAAACCTGGCTTTGGCTCTCTGGTTCCGCATTGCCCGCATCCCACTTGGCCCTCTCCAAGTAGCTGGGACAATCTGGATCCAGTTATGGAGGCAAAACCTCTGTAGGAGAAGAATGGCTACACCATCAGCCTGGCGTCTCACTTATTTTCTTGTCAGATCCCAAATCCCAACTCGTGCTGTGTTGTACAGTTCAAAGAAAGCACTTCACATCGAGAAATGTCATGGTTGCTAGAAATAATTTTGTCACATCTTAAATTTTTCCTCTTTGCAAGTTCAGAGGTTTGTTCAGTTAAATTCAAATCTTATAATGCCTCATTTTAAAATATTATAAAAGGGCACCTCGTTTTTTTTAAATGATGTTTTTATTGATGAGAGAGAGAGAGAGGAGAGAAAGAGAGAGAGAGAGAGAAGGAATGAAAGTGAGAGGGAGAGAGAGAAATGCAGTTCGGCTGCCTCCTCCAGGCCCGCTATTGGGGATGGAGCCTGAAACCCAGGCATGTGCCCTGACTTGGAATTGAACCCTTGACCTTAAGGGATGCTACTCAACCAACTGAGCCTTACCAGTCAGAGAAAAGGACACCTCATTTTTTAAAAAAAATTCTCAGCACCAAATAGAACACTTCATTGTCTTCATATTAAAGATACAAAATGAGAAGATTCTAAAAAGGCAATTTATAATGTACAGGTGCCTTGTTTTTGGTAATTGGAAGCTACTTTTGATGCTGTAATTTTGTTTTTCGGTTTTGCTGCCCACTTGTCAAAGACAGTAGAGCTGAAAGTACAGGAACTCTACCAGTTGGGTGTCAGTTGAGTCCCCAGATTTAGGGCAACAAAAATTAACACCATGTAGATCTTAAAGCCTCTATCCTGGATTTCATTGTTTGCCATGGGAATCTGCCTCTTGGGTATTCCATACTTCCTCAACCTGAGACAATAGAATTTTTGGAGAAAATTTAGAGACACTGCTGTGTTTGTTTTTTTCCCCAAAACATCT